GGTTTCTAAAGTATATCCCAGTGAACTAAAATTGAATAAAACTAACTCTTCAGACGTTATTACATCTTTCTTGGATTGAAACATTTCTATCATTACACTCTATAGTAACTAAAATCTACGATGAAAGAGATGATTTTGATTTTATATTGTTACCTATCCTCATTTAGTGGGAGATGTACCTCATGCTTTATCATATTGGGTGTATATTTCTCAATTAATTAGATTTGCTAGGGCGTGCAGTCGTGTTGATGATTTTAATTAACGCAATTTATTTATTACTAACAAACTTCTTATTATAAATTGAGTAAATATTTTACTAAGTTTAACCATCGTAATCCAGATTTAGTTTTAAAATTTAATTGTAATTTAATAACTCTTTTACAACTAGGTATTAGCAAACCTAATTTCTATGGAGATGTGGTTTACAAACTTTGTAGGACCATGGGTCATAGTAACTTTTCTGCCGTCTTCACTAAAATTATCAAACAGTTTATTAAAAGAGGTTATGGCCCAATTATTTTAGAGCATACCGTCAGCTTGGTGTTTAACCCTTTTACAGTTGGACGTTACGCTTTCCTCTTTTAATTACATCTGACGGACTAAGTGGCGCTGTGGGAGACTCTATGATGGACAGTTCTTAAAGCCCTTTGGGACTGAATTGCCTTAATGTTCGTCTTCTGCTTGCTTCGTCGGGCCCTTGTGGGTGATTTTCTTGTTGCTCTGCCTTCCTTTAAGGCATTGACTACTTTGGTTACGGTAATTAGGCTGTACCCTTTTCTACATATTCACACAATCTTTTATGTGTTTTTTTCCGTCTAATGTAACCATGGCCATTGTTAGAATTTCACTTGGCGGGGATTAATTTTATTTACAATTTCGTGTCATTCAGGAACATATTGGGGCTAAGAGTGTGGTTTGGAGCGCCTTAAACCGGTTTAAACTCCCCAGTGGTTAAAACACCTTTGACTGTTCCTATACTGTACCCCTCTGGGTACCTTCACGTGTCTTTCATGTCTGTATTGTTACTTTCTTTTAGTGTTTACATGTTTTGTGATGTCTGCTTTGTTGGATTTTCGTTGACGGTAGGTATTTCCTCATCCCTCCCCATTTTTTACCCCCTCCTCTTTTCGCCCTTGTCCCTTTGGTTCCCATATGGGCCCGTTTTAGTTTATATATTTTCACACATTACACGACCTTTCGCCGCCCTTGTGTCCGCTCCGTGTTTTTGTAGGGTGTCTTCTGGGTGCCCTACTTTGGTATGTCGGAGGCTACGTCCTGTGAACATTGCCTTATTCTTGTTATTTTACTTACGTTGTGTGTTTGAACTATCTTCACAAACTTCAAGGATTTTTATGATATATATATATGACGTTTTTGTCGTGTCTAAATTGTTAGAAGGTTGTCTCAGATGTAAGATTTCTCGTGATAATCGTGCTCCTGTTTCAGGCACTGTTTAAATTGGCATATTTTGGGTTATTTCGGGTCAGTGAGCTTGTAACTCCTTTTAAAACGCAAATTCATATAGTTATTTATTGTCAGATTTGTCAATAGTAGACAATATATATGTCACAATTCGACTTCATTATTTTAAGGCCAATCAAACCGGAAAATAACTTAAATTAAAAGAGATCCGATGAACAAAATTTCCGTCTGTCTTATTCATGCTTTGCAACATTTCTTAGCTATGTGGCCTACAGTGCAAAGCCCTTTTTTCATACACCGTGATGGTGTAACAGTAACAAGGGATCAATTTTCGGCTGTTTTGAATAAGTGCATTCAAGCAGCGAGCTTTTCATCAAAAGTTCTTTATAAAACTATCAGTTTAGCTACTGACTTAGCTAGTCAATGCCTTTCATCTGAGTCAATCATAAGATTGGGCAGCTGGTCTACCCAGTGTCATAGCCGGTATATTCGAAATCGAGAAATCGTTCAAACAATACATGTACTTACAAGTTTACCGCAAATCTATATGTCTTATGGTTAATTAACTACGGTTAATTATTTCTTTATTTAGATATTTGGATCCTTGTAGATCCTATTCTAAACTGGGCAGGTATTCGCGCACAAGAAAACAGGAAATAGAATGTTTGCGTCCCAAGCAGAACCATTGACTGGCTAGCGGTCAGGGGTCTGAGATGGACTTCCTTACATCACGAGATTGAAACGAAGGTTCTCTATTCCTACTTCAATTAAAATAATACATTTGGGGGAAAATGATTTAATTAATATTTCAAACTTACAAATGAAGAATGTCATGCGCAACGAATTATACTGAAGAGAGGCCTTCCCAACAACAATTATTATATAGATTGATATGTTACCAAGACGGGTGTGGAGATTCGTCCCAAGTGCATATAAAGCCTTGGAAAATAAAAGGTAAATATTAAATAGAAAAAGCCATCAGCTCGTTAGTAGTTTAGGAAATTTTGACTTAGTTAAACCTGAATTTGATTCGAAAACTGCCTTTTTTGCCAAGATGGAATTCATTTAAATGAAATGGGATTGGAGTCTTATTTCGATGGCTTGCGGGATGCAATCTTAAGAAAGTTGTAATTGGTCTTAAAATAATTTGGGGAATAAATTAAGAAATTTATTGGCGGTAAAATTCTGTCGACCGGAAGACGAGCCGATGTGGCTAATTCAGTCTTGTATTAAGTTATCTTTTTTGAAGTTGGATCCGGCTGTGTCTCCTTTTCCGGGCTGGGTTAACCGCTAGGGGATTGGGTATGCCGTTGAACGTTACAATATTTTAAATAGGTACTGCGGAGAGATATCATAAGTTCATCAGTCGTTGTTTTAACTGGACAGTAATATATTTCGCACTAGTACTTTGGTGATTCCTATATATAGCCTTGTTCTTCTCGCTTTGCTTTGCCTTGCCTGCGATTATACTGCCTTGCCTTCCCTTTAAGGGCACCGGGTCACTGTTTTCGTCTACCTCCTGGGTCAACCGGTGGTGGGTGTGAATGGTCATGCGACGTTCTTTGGACCGACGCTACGGCAGTTGTATTTTTATGATTCTCTTACTACGCAGTTCCTATGGGGTAAAAAACTTATGTTAGCTAGCAAGGTTAAATAAAAGTAGTTTGTCTCCATTTAAAATGGTATGTTAAAGAGTCATTGGCTTGAGTTGTAATCATGGTTGATTTATGTGTCTGGTTTTGGTTACATGTTACACGTTTACTCCTCTTTCTGTCGCGGAATTTATATTTATAGCGGTTCAAACTTTGTCGTTTTCATAACAGCTTGTATGTTATACTACGAAAATGAAAGTAAAATATATAAGTAAATAAACACATGTGTTGATTGTATGATTTGGTTCTCTTTATTTCGAGTAATAAAATGAATTTATGTTAAGAGAAAAAAAATGTTTAAATGATTTTCGAATTCTACTGTAAAATTGTTATGTTATTTTATGTACAACGAATTTAATTTGTCAAACATCTGAGTTGTCTTTGTTTAATATATTTATTATTTAACAGACACAACTTCGTAGTTAAATATTTACTATGTGACAAAAGAATAAAAAACAATATTTGGCACATATAACATAGTTTTAAGAGTTTTAAGAGTAAAAGATGAAGATGAATTATGAGAATGTGATATCATAAATGGAAGCTCGGGTATACAGTAGTTGCCTTAACACCAAGGCAAATCTGTTCCTAACACCTTTAAATACTGGATATTAAATATCGGTCACACCTATAAGCTCGTTGACATTTATCATGGTGAAGGTTCGAGTCCATCACAACACCAAGGTGTTACAACTAAACAACAGATCACCTCCCTTGAATCAGATTTTCATCTACGTTTAATTGGCACTTATTATTGATATTATAATTATATAATTATTCTAAAGAATTTAAAGTATATATTACTTGTATTTCATTTGTAGGATAGCTAATAACAAATTAATAGATAAAAGAATGTGATAATTATATATTAAAATAAGATTAAACTAAGATAAAGTTTACTTTTTATATGGATTTCTACAATTTAATATGATACAATACGAAATTTTTAATTGTAAATAAATAAATGGTTACATGTATAACAAATGCAGCAAGGGATACAGTGGCTATTTGATAAACAATAATTGTAAATAAGGGATAATTGCAAACTCATAATTTAAAGAAATACGCTTAAAGCGTTTAACTTAACTGAACGTAATATCCTTTTTTTGCAAGAAATAGGACGACATGGTAGGAATTTTATACACCAATGAATGGTATCATTTTTCATGAATGCAGGGTACCATTATCACATTTTACAATGTAATCATCCACATATGTATTTTTCTTGATATAAACAATCTGTAAATTTATTATATTATTTATTATTATATCATTATATTTATTTATCGCGAAACGAGAGTTCCGTGCGACGGAACCTTTCGGATGAAGCTGTACTGGTTAATTTTCCTGTAATAAAATCTTGAAATCTAATAAAAGATCCATGCAGAGAACATTGCGGTAACACAGATTACGACTTACCATGCATTCTGATTTGAAAAGTATTAGGTAACTGTGCACAGAGCTGGAGTAGACTTGAAATAAGATAAGCTAAAGTTATAAAACAATTGTCAAGAAAACAATACTTGTTTTAGTCCAGTCTCTATAAATACCTTTTAACAATTGTAATGTTTTTTATGCGCCCTACGAAAACATGTATACCGCCTCCGTGGTCGAGGGGTTAGAGTCGATGACTTCTAATCCATTTACCTCTCTGCCGTGGGTTCGATCCCCGGGAGATGCTTTGGTAGTTTAGCGCGGAGGAAGGGAGTCTAGTACTGGTGTAACTCTCCAGGAACGATGGTTAGGAAACTACCCGCCTAAAGGACTGAAATACTGTTGGAAAAAGGCGTAAAATGAAACAAACAAACAAACAAACAAACGAAAACATGTAATTTGCGGTAGAAAAAAGTATGCGGAATTCAATGCGAAGTTATGTTTTAAAACGATATAAATGTTAAAATTATTCTTTTAAATGTATCTACGTACCAAATTTAAACTCCACTTCATTGTTCCAAATAAAGGAATATGTAATGTTTATCCCCAAAATCCCAACATCGATGTATGTAAACCCGAATGAATTAAACATTCAATGTTACCTCAATTGTTGAAAAAAAATATTATTTTCCAAATCAGGAAGTTTAAAAATCTGTTCAAGTGTGAGAGTTATATATACACTAACAGGTACAAGAAGCTCTACCACAATAGCTTATTTATATATCTTAATTTTATCTGGTATTATGTTTCTCACTGAATAAGATATGCACTATTTATACTTGATGAACTAATATTTATTGAAATACATTTGAATTGAAGTGTATGAAAGCCAGTTTTAATTTTTTGAAAAAAAAAATGTTTATCTCATTAAGAGCGAATGGCACATACAAGAAATATTTAAAACACTGTATATAACAGCAAAAAATATTATATTTGTTATGCTATTCGACAGCAGCTGAGTCTTTGAGAAAAAAAACATTCATGATTTACTGCAGAATGGCACGATTAATTTTTGCGAGAAATAAAATTGCAAAGCAAATAAAAACATTCACATGCAGATGCTAAACATTTTGGTTCCAGTTTTCTTTTTTCAATTTATTGCAAAGACATTGCTTATTTCCATTTTTGTCCATTCGACGAATAATTTTCCTTATCCCCGTTAACAAATAACGGACTGCTCATCTTGTTGATTTCCTATAATGAGGTAGCTTTTGCAGTAACCAGACTGAACAGCGCAGAAAATGATGACGTATAGAAATCATCTCAAAACACGTTGTCCATCTATTAAAAGGTACATGTATACTGTTTTGCATTGGACAAAACTGTAGCAGCACAGGGACCGTATATGGTTATGGTATATTCCAAACCTTGCGAATAAAAAATAGAGCAACGAAGTTACTGATTCCCCTTTAACACTATTCTAACAATAGACTTTACCCGATCACCACTGCGTATCATCATACATTTGTTTACACGCATAAACACACACACACAATTTTAGAAAAAAAATATTATGTATAAGTCGAAAACGATAACGTTTACATTATTCGGTCGTAGCATAATGACATACTGGGTTGTGCAAGTTATTCAGTTTTTACATTTTGCACTTTTCTTGCAATATAGAAAATAAAAATTGGAATGGAAATGTAAGTCTTAGTAGGGTAGCGGTTAGAGAGTTCAGATTATGAAGAGTTCATGATAAGAAATTCATTTATTTGTCGAGTTCAAATCTGCAAGAGTACATTATTTTTTGGTGTCTGTAGTATGGTTTTTACTTTCAAAAACATGTTCATATTCTCTTTTATAAACCTTTGATTTATTCAATATTTTGAACAATTTAAAGTTAAACTTTTTACGGTTTAGAACAATTGAATGTTGTTGAATTAAATGGTCATTGAATAGTATTGTCATTTTTTTATATTTAAAAGTCTGACTTCAATTTGCTACATTTTTGACAATTTCGGCTCATTTGTATATTTATATATTTAATTTTCTTCGATTCCTCATGTATCCCTCTATACACGGCTGTGTTGTTTCTAACTTAACATGCTGCGAATGTGTGTAAAACTAAGAAAAATGCCCTTTTCAGGAATCGAATCTTACGAAGCCAACATTCAACCACTACGCTATTGCGCTGAACAGATAAAATATGAGACATTGTTTATGTGATTAAATAGAAGGCAACTATGGACGAAAGTTGATGTACATGTAGTACATCAATTTGTGTTCTTCTATGAAAGTTACACACAGGGAAACAAGTGGAAATCGAATTTGAAATAATGTTAGAAGGAATGGGACAACTAAACGTAGGAGTGACAGGCCAGGAATGGAACTTTTTTTCTTTCATACTATTCCCGTAATATAAAATGACACCGGAAAAATGCACTCGCTTTGGAACAACATTATAAGTTATTTAAGAAATAAGTACACCATAATTTGCCGATGAATTAAGGGGCCTAGTATATATTTGGTAATTTAGTATTTGAACAGAACTTAAAAATACTATCACATTTTGCTACTTGTATACTTATCATTTCACTTACATCACATCACATCAATATTTGACTTATCCCTTTTCTTTCGCAGCCATTTTACGCTTGCGTAAAACCTCGCTTGTTAAAAAATGGCTCGACACCCTTTAAACTTAAGAGTATACTGTAATGGCATTAACGTTGTATTAATGCCAGTGGCGCGCAATGCAAACCATATATTGATATACGGGAATTCCGGATACATATTAGTCCGTATATGACGTATATACTGGAACTTGTAAGTACCAGGTCTATAAGGAGCTTTATTACATTACTAAAGAAACGAAATTCAATATTCTTGCAAATGTGGATTTTTTAATATAGAAATAGACAATTAATATTAATTCCTGAATAACTTTTTCCTATATGAGGAAAGAAATAATCTGGTCTATCATTTTTCAAACATTTGTTAGGATAACATGAACTTGTAAAGGTTGAAATCAATGTAATATTTCCTGGATTTTTTTCACACACCAATTACATGCTAATCATATCACAGAAAAAAATGGGGTTAGAAAGGGTAGAAGTACAATTGATCCTATATTGTTATTAACAAATATTATTGATACTAGAAAAAAGTCCAAAAATCTACTTTTTGTGCATTTATTGATTTAAAAAAAACCTATTATTTTATAAATAGGACTATTTTATGGGACAAATTAATGAATTTGGAAATTGGTATTAATGGAAAAATGATGAATGCTATGACATCTCTATATAGTCAGGTTACATCTAGTGTTAGGGTTAACGGTTTGTAAACTGATTGGTTTGATGTTAAATGTGGTTTAAGACAGGGCTGCTCCTTATCAACTTTGATATGTAATTTATTAGTAAATGATCTGGCAGTATCTATAAAAGCAGCCGGTAAGGGTATTTATATTGATAATGAAAAACTATGCATCCTTTTATATGCAGATGATATTGTACTTATAGCTGAAAACGCAGAAGATTTACAGTTCATGTTAGATATGTTAAATAATTGGTGTAACAAGAATACTATGATTGTACATCCTATGAAGAGTAATATCATTCATTTTAGACCTGTTTCTGTTCCCAAAACTTCATACAGTTTCACATGTGGGGACCACAGTCTGAAAGTCGTTGTCACTTATACATACCTAGGTCTGTTACTGACCGAGATGCTTAATATTAATATCTTGGTGAAATCTGTTGCTCAGAGTGCTGGTAGAGCCCTTGGTCTCCTTATAGCGAAGTCCATGTCATATGGTGGCATGCCATATAAGGCATTCACAAAACTTAACGATAGTACAGTATGGCCTGTTATTGCATATGGGGCATCTGTTTGGGGAACAAGATCCTATTCTTGCATTAATGCAGTGCAGAGGCGAGCAATGAGATTATTTATGGGATTGGGTAAATATATCCCTATTAATGCCATTTATGGTGAAGTTGGTTGGCAACCCTCTCATATGAAATTTTGGAGATCTGTGTCTCAACATTGGCATAGAGTGAAGACAATGGATAGTGATAGAATTAATTTCAAGATTTTTTTTATTTTGTGACAGTAAGAGTAATAATAGTTGCAAAAAATTGGCAATTTCTGTATAAGAAACATCAATTGTCAAACAATTTATTGAATATGTCAATCAATTGTATAAACATGTCTATCAAACATTTTTGTGATAAGATAATTACGTGTACCATGTATACTTTCATTCATGATTGGACAACACATACAAAATGTACGGATCCCTCTGGTACAGGCAGAAATAAACTTAGGACCTATACATAGTTTAAATCTGTTTATGAAACTGAAAGTATTGAATGTACAACTTTGCCTAGTAAATACAAGTCTGCGTTGGCTAAATTTAGATGTGGAGTTGCCTACCTCCGTTTAGAAATCGGAAGATACGAAAATATCCCAGAAGAACAGCGTCTATGTCCGATTCGTGAACTTGCAGTGGCAAAAGATGTTCATGTTTTATTTCATTACCCATTGATTCAGAAATAATATAATAATAATAATAATTGAGATTGATGCCTCATTTAACATTTTATGTGATCAGGATAAATTAAACTTTGTACTCTCAAATGACCATATGTTAAAAGTAAGTTCTAAAATGTCCGTTTTGATTTTAAAAGCCAGAAACAACCATTTATACAAATAGGTTAACAGACTACATTTCAGGATTAGTCATATATCCTTTTTTATCATAAGTATTATTAGCGTTACTAGTGTAAAGCAAAGTTATATTCTCATTCTATGTGGAAAATGGGGTATATATACAGATAATGACAGTTTGTTTTACTGACAATTCAAATACTTATAATATTGTTTTTAAATAAGTGTTTGTCTTTAAAATTTATAAACAAGAGTGCCTGTCATGTCTGTATCTCACCTCCTGCCTGGAGTGAACTGTTAATATATTTTTAAATACATAAATAAGTAATTTTATCCCTATGTTTTGATAATCACTACTGACCAGTTCATCCATGGTCTAACCATGAATGATAAATGATTTTGTAAAACCATTTTGTTATATTGTGTGATAGTGCTTTTATTACAAAATTTAGTATTTTACAGTTTAATTTCTTATGGCAGTTTTTAAGACGAGGTCAGTAGAGGCTATTAAACTTTTAAAATGTAAAAAAGTCTATTATAATTTTGCAATTAAATGTCTCAAATGACTTTTTAAATAATGACAATATGCAATTATGTCATCCTATTGCAATTGATTTATATGATGTAAATGTTGAGAATGTGAAAACGTAAATACGGGAGGTAAATTTACAGTACATGTTATACATTTCTATAATATGGACTGTGGATTTATTCCTCTTAGTATAAGCTATAACAAGTCTCTTGTCATTCTTTCGAGAATGGCTATATACAATTTCAATGTTTTAAATGTTTTATATGTATATATGTGTAAAGATGAGACTACAATAACGAAAAGGAATTCTATAACACTGGCCATAGCTTTTGCAGAAGCGGTTGGTCCATCGCAGCGGCGGCAGAGTATTCATCGCAGAAGCGTTGGATAAAGATTGGGCGTTTGCTGTTATAGGTAAGTTTATGACTGAATTTACTTTATGTTTTTAAGTTTTACGGGAAACACATAGTGAGACTAGAGCCCACATATGTACTCTTCAAACTTATTATATGCACACCATTACAATATTTTGTCATTGATGCAAAC